TAACCCGTTTGTGATGGGTTGCTTTTCCGCTTTTGCTCCCGTTGTTTCTCCTTTCTGGATTTTTGGGCTTTGGTTTTTTGGTGATTTTGCATCCGGTGGAGGCCTAATTTTTTTTTTGTCCTCGATTCCCTCTTCAGTTCTTCGATAGAGCCCTAATTTTTCCTCTGCCTCTCTCTCATTTCCTCTGCCTCTTTCATTTCTTCTCTTTTTTTTTTTACTTTTTTTCTCTTCTTTTCTCTGGGTTTTTTGGTTTAGAATTTTTTGCCTCGCCATTTGTTTCGTTTCCCTTGCCCTTGCCTTTCTTGCCTCTTCGATGTCCTCATTTTCTCCGCTTTTGTCGCCCCGTTTTGGCGGATTTGATTTTGTAAAAAATGGTGTTACTTTGTGCGATTTGTGTTTTGGCTTCTTCGGCAGTTTTATCAATGGCTTTGCTTTCATTTTCCCCCGTGGTTTTGGTCTACGGTGCTCTGATTCATTTGGACTTTGGCGGAGGCTTACGGCATTTTCTTTGTTTGCCTCTATACTGGTTTGATTAGTGATTTTGATTTCTCTATCCTGCTTGGGCATTTTTGTTTGCAGTTTTGGTGTGATTTTGTTGGATCGGTCTTTGATTCATGTGGGTGTTGCAGGCCTGTCGAGTTTTCCTCGGTTGGTTCTGTGCTCGCTTGATTTATGGTTTTGGGTTCGATTTTTGTCCAACTTTAGGGCATTGCATGTTCAGTCATTTTTTGTCTTTGTCTTTCTCCTTTGATTTTGGGGGAAATTTTGGGATTTTATCCCTTTTTTCTTCGACATTGTTCTGTCATTTTTATTTGTGGCTTTTTTTTTTGTCTCATTTGTTCTGATTTTTTTAATGCTCACTGAAGTTTGATTTGGGTTTTGGTGTAGGGCTCTTTGGTTTTCTTGGATTGCTTCTAGGCTCGATTCATCTCATGTCTTGGTTTGGGTTTTTATCTGTTTTTGAGTGATTGGATGCTTGGTCTCTTTTTTCTTTTTTTTTCTTTTTGCCTGGTTTTAATGTTTACTTACATTATTCTCTTCGTTATTTGCTTTTGTGCTTCATCTGTTTGGATTTGTTTTGTGTTTTTCGACATTGTTCTACCATTTTTATTTGTGGCTTGCTTTTGTATCTCCTTTGTTCTGATATTTTTTTAATGCTCACTAAAGTTTGATTTGGGTTTTGGTGCAGATCTCTTTCGTTTTCCTGGATTGCTTCTAGGCTCACTTCATTCACGGTTTTGGTTTGGGTTTTTATCTGTTTTTGAGTGATTGGATGCTTGGTCTCTTTTTTCTTTTTTTTTCTTTTTGCCTGGTTTTAATGTTTACTTACATTATTCTCTTCGTTATTTGCTTTTGTGCTTCATCTGTTTGGATTTGTTTTGTGTTTCTTAAGACTGAAACCAATTTCTAATTGACTGGTATGTACTGTCCGTGAGAAATTCCTTTACACCTGTTTATTATTGTTCTTGATTGGTCCTTTTGTTCACAAAAGAATTCTTATCTGCATAGTTCCGTGTTGTTTCCGATTAATCTTGATTTTGTTTGCCTGTATTTATTGAGGTGATGATCTGTAAAGTCTATGGTACTGATTTGTCTTGCCACGTTGATGGCTTATGCTCACTTTGCTGTAGAGGTATTTAATGAATCATTGATTTTTTTTCTATTTTCTGAAACGTTTAAAGAATTTGGCCAAAAAATGTTGGTAATTGTTATATTAATGTTTAAAAAATAGGTATCTTTCTCCTTTTCCATATTGTTATTATTTTACTTTTTATTATCTAATTTGGAAATTTTAACTTCTGGTTTTTTCTCACCGACTTTGGGTTTCTACGTGGGATTTTGTTATAGGCTGCTTATTAGTTTTCTGTTTCTGTATTTAAAAATGTGCCTGCCTGTGGATTTATCATGCATGTCCCTATTTCTTTCCCTTGCATCTCCTGTTTTTGCTTCCTTATTTTACCTTCAATCATTTACTGCTCCACTTCATTCTCTACCATTTATTTTCTGATCCTTTTATCATGGTGACGTTTGGTTGGCTGATATTTCAGACTCAATACAGCATTTGTAGCGTTCGAGGTACTCCTGAGGCTTCCTATCCATAGTTTACTCATTTATGTTGTTGATATTGAATGCACTGGTTTGTTGTGGGGCTATTAATGTCTGTTGTTTGTCTTTTATTACCTGTCCTTTTTTTCCTCTGTATTTGCTAGGTATATCATATTTACGTGTTCACTTACTGCTTTATTAACTGTCTTGGTTTTTCTCTGTATTTGCTCAGTATATGATATTTAAATGCTGACTTGCTTATTTATCTCTTACTTACATGTGTGTGTATATATATTCTTATTTTTACTTATCCCATGTGTGTGTGAATTATGAGAGAGAAGCCTTGCACAATGAAATTATGATATAAAATGACATAATTGTGAACTGTCACTGATGTTGTGAATTAGATTCTGACACCATAGAACGACACACTAGAATTGCACATGATTATCAATTTCCTCCCAATGCGTATATAATTTTGTAACCTAAGTTAGTGCATGATGCTTGGTGAATTATTATTTTTTTTCCGTATTGACTGTTTTATTGAAAACCTCTTTATAGGTGTCTTGAGCTTCTTTTTTTACGCTGAGCTTTAGCTCCACCATCCTGTTTTTGCTGTTTCATATAAGGGAAAAAAAAACTATTAGAAAAAAGACAAATATTCTGTTGTCTTACTTTTGTCCTCTCATAACATTCTTCATCATTTTCTTATTGCTCTGTTTCTTCCTTTACTTTTACCATAAATTACAGTTTTTATTGCTCTATTGGTATTGTTCTCCTCCTCTCTTTCAATTCACCTGATAGTCTTTTATTTTTGGTCTAGATTTTTTACTCCTTTGTGTGTTGTCACCTTTACTTATTCCAAGGCTTTCGTGAAGAGGATCTTCATAATATATATATATATATATATATGGATTCAAAAAAAGAGAACTTCATAAAATAACAAGTACCTTAGAAGGAAAACAAATTTTTTTAAAGAAGTGGGAGGAGGCGGGTACGCCTCTTTGTTCCATTATTTCAGATGGCATTTTTTGTGGTTCAGAAAGCAAAGATTTCACCAGAGAAAAAAAAATCCCAACTATTTAATCTACTTGTGGACTGTCTCTACACTACAAGGTCCTCATCTACATAAAATGAAGAATAAAACAGAAACCCAACAGACTGAAAGCATTGAAAAGGGCAATTGGTCTTCTGGTTTCGTCATTTATTCCGTAATTCAAGGTAAAAATTTGAGAAAGAAAAAACCTCTTTATTTAGAATGAAAAGGATCAAACTTGGGCCAAAAAATTGGTTGCCGAGAAAATTAGAAGGAAATGAAGAGGATCAAATTGGGCAAAAAAAAATCGCTAATTAAAACTTAAGTTTAATCAGAAATAGAAAAGACAAGCCCAAAACCTGTTTAATCAGGATGAAAAGGATCAAACTTGGGCCAAAAAAATTGGTTGCCGAGAAAATTGCTAGGAAATGAAAAGGATCAAACTTGGGCAAAAAAAAAATCATTAATTAAAACGGAAATTTAATCGCCTTTTATTATTATAGTTTCAAGGGCAAAGAAATAAAACAGCCAAGAAAACGTCCACGAACCAGGTAACGTAACTACTTCTAAATCCTACTATTTTCAATTTTTTCAATAACTAATACTAATATCTTTTAAAATTTATATTTTACAGTTGAAAAAAAACAAAGGAACCACAACAGCAAAGAAGAAGAAAGAGTTATATATATATTGTAAATAACTTTATATGACAATATGTTATATATATATATATATATTGTAAAATATTATACATATATATTTTGTATATATATATATATTTATTGTAAATAACTTCATAGAACAATGTCCTATGTATATATTCATGTATAAATACAGACAAATAATCTATTTATATTGTATACAAATTAATAACTTCTTCTAAAAAACAAAATTATTTTCTACTGCAATGCGCGAGTCTATGGCTAGTTATCTCTGTTTAAAAAAACTAAAAAGAGAAATTAAGAAAAGTAAGGTCATGTTCGGAATTGATCCCCTTTTTGTTTTTCACGTTTTTCGAGAAAGAAAAATGAAAATATTTTTAAAACGGTGTTTGACGCAATAAAGACAAAAAACATAAATAAAAATGATTTTTCAGTTTAGTATAAAATAAGAGAGAAATGAAAAACGATTTATAGTCGTTTTATATTTTTTGTTTTCGTTTTCTCATCTCTCGAACAGAGGGAGGCATTAATGAGTTTTTTATACTGAAAATAATCTCTTAATAAAATTATCAAACACATTTTTAAAAATGATTTCTATCTGATATTGAAAATGTTTTCATTTTTATTTTCATATAAAAAATAAAATCATTTTAAAACGAGTTCCAAACGCGCCATTAATTTCTCCATTTTTTGCTATGGTTATTTGTAAAGCTCTAGATAAGTCTAGTCTTACTTATTTCAACCCAAATATTTTGCAAGCCCATAGACTTTTTACGTGAGAATCTCACAAATTAAGCACGATTCGCTTAATAATTTTTTTTTTAAAAAAGAGAAAAAACAAAAAAAAAAAGAAAAAAGAAAACAAATACAATCTCTACACGAACGTATTAGATACCCTAATTTATTTCACCAACGTGATTTGTCTAGAAATCCTTTCGTTAACTAAACATTGAAAGGCCAAGTCACTGATTTTGTCTAGTTTGAATGATTTTGTGATGGAAGCGCTAAATATGGATCTTTTTTGATAGATTCGGAATTTACATTTTTAGGAATTAATACGTAAACAAAAGTGTAGATTTAAAACTGAATGGAAAGAAGAAACTCATCAGAAATTCCATAGCAATAAATAAGGAACAAAGGGATAGTTTCCAAAAAAATAACAATGATAAGTTACAAAATAGAAAATGAAAGAAAAATTAAGGAAATAACCATACAAGAACATCGAAATAAGAGAAGATAAATAAAATACTCTACACTTAACCTAATACATGGAGTCCTAAAACATGTAATTTCTCAAGCACCTGATGTTACAATGTATGTTATCAATTGCATAACAAAGGAACCAGAACAAAACTTATGGCATAACAACAAAATGAAACAATTTGAATAACAGACATTTGGGCCTCATTCGCTTTGCGGATTCAAACTGAGATGTGACATTTTCTGAGAGCTTTTAACTGTAGCAAAAAAAGTAAGATGTGACATTTTCTTAGAACTTTTAACTATAGAAGCCTAGAATTGAAAACTCGACAAATTCATAATATTACCATTATACAAATGCCCTGCATATCATCATCATCAAAAACAACATTACTAAGAAAAAGAAAGTTGCCGAGTCAAATAGTTAGTTAGTTATAGTAGAGGCAAGGAGAGGAACCGGAGAAAAATATACACGTTATACATATATATATATATATATATATATATATTACTGAATGATAGCCAGACACAAGATAAGCATTCATCTAATTACAGTAAACTATTATTATAACATACAAATATTCTTTAAAGGAAATATCATAGTAATCAAACCATAATGAATAAATAAGCATAGAAGATTAAAGTATCATAAATGTGAGGAAACATAAGAATTACAAAAAAAAAAAAAAAAGAAAACATTTGGATTCAAAATAACTAAACAAAGAATAAGAATAATCATACTATTCATAATCTACAAATACTAAAGCAGTTAATCTAATAGAACTAGAAACAAACACTAATTCTCATAGTATTTACAACAAACACCTCATCGACAACAAGTTTACTTAACTTCGCTAGAGATAAAGTAATCAAATAACATAATGTTGTCATACAAAGAAATTGATTTGAAAACTGAATGTAAAATTATGAATCTTTTTTAAGCTGGAGGTGGAATAATTAAAATGAGTATAAGACATCTGAAGCAGGAGGTCCAAACTAATTTCTATTCTCGAGTAATGACCAACTTACGCCTTAAGGATCTTTAGCCAAGAATAAATAAATAAACACTTCAAGGGTAAATACGTAATGTCAGAGTAAATGATATGTATGGTTAAAGTATATGCTCATACCTAAATCGATTTCCTTCACAAGACATTGATAGTTTTATTGACCAGACTCGTCACACACTGACAGTACAGAGAAAATGAAGGGGCAACCACCAGCAAAGATGTTATTCTTTCATGATAAAAGAAAAAAGAAAAATTGAAAGCAAAAAGCCTAAATAGCTGAAATTTGATCGGTTTATAAGGAGAGCCAGAGGCAAAATAAATAGATTAAATTGGTTCCATCTTGTGAATTTAAATAGACCATCTTGCTTCTTGAGACTTATTCATTTAGTTCAAGAACTTACTTTCTCTGTAGCTAACAAGCATGTAGTGATAGAAACAACAAGACATAACACGGTATCTTGCAGCCAGAGATTAGTAAAGGGATAAACTATGACCATGAAATTGCTAATTTGCATTTACAACAAAAAGAAAGCTCCCGAGCTCTTAACCAGATATGAATGCTCACAGCAGTGTAAAGACTCTGCCTCGATGGATCAACTCAAACAAGCAAAAAACTAACCTGATTCTAAAGACCCTTTTCGTTAGCAAAGTTAATTCAATCCAAAGAAAAATATAATAAAAAAGGACATCATTTTAAAGTGTATCATGTAGCACAAATATATAATTTCACTCTACTTTTTCCCACAATGCAATAAACCATTTATAAGACCTATTTGCTCCAAAAAGAGAGCTTCTCCCATGATGCATACGTGTATATGGAATAATAAATATGAACACATAGCATGTCACACCTATATTGTACACTACTAAATGTATATGCATATGTATTTACTAGAGAGTCAAAAAAGAGAATGACGCTTACAATGGTTTTAAGCTAGTACGTGGTAAATTCCTCCACATTGCTTTGAACATTGTTGACATCAGTCAATGCTTTTCCTAGAAAAAGGAGAATGTGATGTCATGAAAGAAACTGCCAAAAAAAAAAAAGGAAAACAAAAAGTAGATTAAGTTTGCAACGCAAGCATTGTCCAGGCCTTAACGCAACTACCGTTCCTTTGCTCATCCATTACTTTTTTGAACACCCTTAACGTTGAACAAAAATACAGGCCAAAAAAAAAAAAAAAAAAAAAAAAAAAAAAAAGAACAATAAATGGCTTGTTAAAAGAACAGTTTCTACAAACCTCCTAGAATTAAAAAAGAGTGAGATGGTCAATACCTTTTGAGAACTAGTACTAGCCAGAGTAGACACTTTGTTAAATAGCATAAATTTCCTTTCACCACAAAAAGTGAGGATAAAGAAGTTGACAAAACAATAAAAGTAACAAAGTTTTAAGTCCGCTTAACTTATGTACAGTTAACCTAAAAGAACTGAAAATGCAAGGACGGATAGCTATAGAATAGCTAATTGCAAACTTTATGTAGAATTCTTCAAAAGTTCCAAATATGTAATAAGTGTTTGCTTTTAGAAATACCCATTATTTATCTAAAAACCCACAAACAGAAGTTCATATATCTTAGACAAAAGTTAGTATCGAATTAAACTAAAATATGGGTGTGATCTATTAAAAGAAAGAAAGAAAGAAAGAAGATATATACATAAGCAAAAAAGGATTTTAAGCCAAAAAAAGCGATACAAGAAAAAAGATAAAATGATGAAGAACCTTAATGCAACTGGTTTCAGTTTGTGTGCTTCAACTCGGTTGACTCTCCTCAAAAAATAATCACAAAATACAAAATGCTTAAATTTTCTAATCTAATTCCCTTTCTTACATAAATTCTGATTTTTTTAAACTTTCGTACTACAACAGCCAAAAACTAAAACCTAGAAAGGAAACCTCAAAGGAAAACCACGATACTTACTAACAAAACCGGTGTCAGCAGCTTCATTTTCCAAATAAAAAGAGATGGCGACCCTTTTGCTGCCGCCTTGGGTTCAGCTAACACTTTTCTTTTTTCCTTTTTTTTTTTGGAAAACAAGTGTATTCTGCAGAGAATAATGAAGAACCCTATGTCAAAAAATCAGCAAATTGGTCAAAACGTCCATGGAATTTAATTAACGAGCTTATGAGTAGTTTTTCACGAATCAAATGAAATCTTACTGTGTTAATTCTCTCTCACGCCATTTTGCAACCGGAGTTCTTTGACATCGCCACGGTTGTAGAAGGCCAACTCACCATTGCGGAACAACAACGAAAAACCAAAACCCAAAGAAAGAACCAATTCACAAAAAGATGAATTAAAGACATTTTAAATAATCAAGCCTCATATAAACGTGTACAGTTTCACGAATATTGAGAAGTTATGTTAAAAGGAAAAAAGAAAAGCCCCTTCTCTTCCGAGATGGCTCAAGACTCTTCCTACCAAGAAAATGAGTCCTCAGATAATTATTTGAAGATATGGTTCCCTGTAGCAACATCTACATTTTTTCACCACAATGACAACTAAGAATTATAAATCTCACGAGAAAAAATGAAAAGTACATCTAGGTGACAAAAGACAGAAATTAAAGAGAATTTATCATAGACCATAATAAAGATTTTGAATTGACCTGTCAGACAATACTTAAAGAAAGCACCGTCATTCTGTATAAACCTTGCAACAGCATTGCCATGCCTTCAACAGGCCTAAGAGAAAAGCTTTATGGAGGAGCTTAGATTTGTAGACTTGGTTCGTTTTAGAGTTTTTTTTTTTTTTTTTTTTTTGCAGTAAAAACAAATGAAAACATCAATCTATCACACAATAATGATGTAGCTTTCAAAAAAGGAAATTTTATAACTATGTTTTTTAGCAATTAAAATGCATAACTATTGTGAAAGAAAAATATGCCCTTTTCTAAAACTTAGTAATGAAAACAAGAAAAAGGGAGAAAGGAAAGGAAAGAAAAGAAAATAGGGACCTTTTGGTTCTTTTTAAACCATTAATATCAGTGGTGGTGTGAATTTAGAATTACAATTGAAAGACCAATTAAGCAAATAATAAGAAGGTTTGGAAGCCCTATCTACAAAAACATGAGAGACACTAAACCATACAGCTCTGTAGAGTCAAATTGAGAATGATATTATTAAAAGTAAAAAAAAAGCAGAGAGGTTTCTCCAACCAATTTTTCCATCATCTCTCTTTTCCCAAACACATCCATCTCAATTTTCTTCCCTTTCTTCTCAAACCACCTCAATCACATCTACATGCATAGTAGAAATTGCACGTACAGCCAAATTACACAAAGCAAACACAATAAGACAATGAAAACTAATGGGAAATGAAAAAAATGCATTACCAAGTTGTTTATTGGAGTGAGCAAAATAGGGGCTTCCCTCAAAACATCAATCTATCACACAATAATGATGTAGCTTTCAAAAAAGGAAATTTTATAACTATGTTTTTTAGCAATTAAAATGCATAACTATTGTGAAAGAAAAATATGCCCTTTTCTAAAACTTAGTAATGAAAACAAGAAAAAGGGAGAAAGGAAAGGAAAGAAAAGAAAATAGGGACCTTTTGGTTCTTTTTAAACCATTAATATCAGTGGTGGTGTGAATTTAGAATTACAATTGAAAGACCAATTAAGCAAATAATAAGAAGGTTTGGAAGCCCTATCTACAAAAACATGAGAGACACTAAACCATACAGCTCTGTAGAGTCAAATTGAGAATGATATTATTAAAAGTAAAAAAAAAGCAGAGAGGTTTCTCCAACCAATTTTTCCATCATCTCTCTTTTCCCAAACACATCCATCTCAATTTTCTTCCCTTTCTTCTCAAACCACCTCAATCACATCTACATGCATAGTAGAAATTGCACGTACAGCCAAATTACACAAAGCAAACACAATAAGACAATTAAAACTAATGGGAAATGAAAAAAATGCATTACCAAGTTGTTTATTGGAGTGAGCAAAATAGGGGCTTCCCTCAAAACGTCACCCCTGCTCTTCTTCCTATCTTGTTTAGAACAAATGGACATTTTTTAAAGCATTTTAACAAATACCAAAAAAGACTGAAAAAAATAAGAAAAGAAAGAGAATAATCTACAAGGAAAATATAACTTAAAGAGAGAGTCTTATTCAACAAGGGAAGAAGGAGAAGAAGAAGGACGAAGGCGCTGAAGCAAGCTCTCTAGTTCTCACAATAAATGCAAATCTTTTAAATGCAAACCCATATCTCTCTTCTCTTTTTTTTTTTTTTTTTTTTTTTAATTTTTAAACATTCAATATATATGTGATAGCGTTAGCGATAGGTTTGGGCCCTTTTTTCTTGTATAAACGACCGACCAAGTAAAAAATAACATACTGTGCGTTTGTAATTATTTTTAAATATGTATTTTAAGGTACGAAAATAAAAATGACTTATAAATTACGTTTGTTTAATAAAAATTTTAAAAATAGAAATGAAAACAAAAATTTGTATAAAAATAATTTTTATAAAAAAAAATAAAAAACGATTGAAAGTTATTTTTTTTTTTAGTACAGACCAAGTAAAAAATAACATACTGTGCGTTTGTAATTATTTTTAAATATGTATTTTAAGGTACGAAAATAAAAATGACTTATAAATTACGTTTGTTTAATAAAAATTTTAAAAATAGAAATGAAAACAAAAATTTGTATAAAAATAATTTTTATAAAAAAAAATAAAAAACGATTGAAAGTTATTTTTTTTTTTAGTACATATCAATAAAGTTATATTAAATAATTAATTATTAATTATAATAATTAATAATTAATAATTAGTAATTAATCATTATAAAAAGAATAATTACCAAAAAATGATCACGTGATATATCAAATAATAGATTATTAAATGAACACTAGTAATTAATTAACTAATTATTTAATTATATAACTAAAAATTAATTATTTAAGTAGTAACAGAATATTAATAAATTATATATATATACTAATTACTTTTCTTAATACACTAATTAATTACTTATAATCTAATAAATATGAGTCCATTACTAACTTAGTAATTACTTATGATTAATTACTAATTACTATTTTTAATTATTAAGCATATTAATTTATTATATATATAGTTTAATTACTAATGTACTCATTGATGATAATTTATCCATTATTATTATATTATTAATATATTAATTTTTATTTGTTAAATAATTAATAATTAATAATTACTTAATATATTAATTTAAAATTATTAATTATACGTATTTAAAATAAATATAAATATAACTAAATATGATTTTATTTTTTTATTAAATTCTGTTTATTTTACCAATTCAAATTTTGATACAGTAAAAGTACTCAAAAACAATCACATATAACTTTTTTATTACAGTAAAAAATTCTCATATAAAATTACTTCTCAACTCGAATCAGCGAATTAAACGCACGTTTAAACTAATCTTTAGACTACTAAATATAATTTCCGGTTTCAAAATAATTTTCAAAATAATTTAATTTTTATTTTTATATCAAAAATAAAATCATTTTGAAAAGCCCGTCAATTCATCACAATTCCGTCTGAGAACTCAGAATACAGATTCAGAGAGATTCCGACTGTTTGTTTGGGAAAATCCATGGCGGAAGCACCACCACCACCTCAACAACAGGCATCACCGTCACCATCATCAGTAGCGGAGCTCATAGTCTCCTTCGAGCAAGCGATCATGGCGGCCAAACAGCTCCCTTCCACGGCCGACCCTTCCCACCTCCTCCAAATCCACCCCTCCCTCCAACACGCCCACAACCACCTCTCCGCCTTCCTCTCTCGTCCCCAATTCCCCCTTCCCCTAGAGAATGCCCTCTCCTCCGCCGCCGCCACTGGACGAAAACGACAACGACAACGACGACGTCGAGCAGGTCAATTCGAGAGGGATCGTGGATGGAGTGGAGGAGAAAATGAGGAATTGCTTTATTAAGAACAAGCGGCGGAAGCGGCGGCTCTCTGCGTCAGCGCCGGAGGAGAGAACGAGGTTCATCGACGACGGGTTCGGAGCTGTCGGTGAGGGTTTTGATCCTTATGCCACCAGGTTAAGAGCTTTGGAGCTTGTTTATCAGTTTCATGATTGAGAAACTAACAATTTAGCTCAAGCAGAATTTGGTTAAAATAACCAAGTGAAAAAGTAAAATTACAGCACAACAATGTAGCACATGCATGACATGATCAGAAACTTCAGTTTTTCATATTCTGAAACCAACCTCACTTTTTGGGGAAAATTTTGTTCATGTTATGTGAATGAAATTTACAAATATTTTGTGTTTACTGTAAGAGATTAAAGGCTGATTATTCGAGTTTTTAATTGGAATTGAGATATAATTTTAGGTGAAAATTTTTTACTATAATAAAAAATTAATTAAAATGTAACTGTTTTTAAAATTTTTTTACTATAATAATACATGAATTTTAAATTCAAATTGAAAAAATAAACGGACTTAAGAATATAACAATAATTCAACACTGCACAAAAATTTTTGACTTCAATCTCTTCTAAACTGATTTGTAATGAATAGTGTCACCATATAGCATCATGTAATAAAAAAAACAGCTCATACAACAATTAGTGGTCTAACTTATTGAGCCTCTCTCTTTTTCTTTTTTTTTTTTTTTTGTTTTTTGTTTTGTGAATATCTACTTTGGGGCCTAAACTTAAGTAACCAATGTGAAAATTTGCTGCCAAGCCCTCGATGCGTCTCGAACTTTCTGGATTGCCCATAATAGTAATAATAATAATAATAATAATAATAATAATGGAAACTTCTCCAGCTTTGCTTTCATTGTTAGGCTCTTCTCTCACTGTTCATTAGTTATATGATGCACATTATGAAGCCTTACAACGCCCTTGATATTAGATATCCACATGTTTGCCTTCTATGACCCAACATTGTTCTATGGAGGCGCACTTTGGTAAAACCAGTGGAATTATTAGGTTTCCATGATCAAATTATGAAGCTTCACAAAATCATCTAAGGCCAGCTCTCCCGGTCTTGACTGCAAAATAAATAGGATAATCATAAATGAATGAACAAGAATTTGAAGGCTATAATCAAATAATTCATCAAGCACAATAAATAATATCAGATGATTTATACTGTCGGTCGAAGGCCAATGTTCCTGAGAGCATTCTCAATCTCAGAGGATGAGCAGATATGTTGTAGCGATCTTCGCAACATCTTTCGTTTCCCGTTGAAAGCAGAGTTGATCTACATCAGTAAACAAGGAGAGCATGTTAGCAGAAAAAATGTTTAATTTATTCAACAAAAGATAGTACAAGTGCTTAAGGTGGTCTTAGGTTGTGCTTGTGCATACATACATGTGTGTTGATGTAATATTTAGGATTCAAAATACATAGCACGTATGTTGAATAAAGCTCTAGCATTTGAGTGAGCATAGGGATCCAATATCTTGAACAACGACGCAGTAGTGAAAGTAAAATCTTGGGATTATTTCAAAAGCTGAACTACCATTGAGAAGAAGCTTTTGGTGGAGGAAACTGAGGGGTAGTCTTCAGCTCGCTTCAGCCTAAATTTTACAATAGCAGCATCAACCTGTTGTAGCATAAGAAAAGGATCAGGTCAGTCTCAAATCATATAGAGAAGAGAACACCGGAAAAGGTGGAAGGTTGGTTAATTAGTATCTTTATATACGAGTAAAAAGAATTAAAATCCAAAACTAACTCATCCAGTCCCTGGCAGAAGAACCATTCAAAAATTTGTCTTGTTTTTGTTCTTTTGTTTTTGCTTTTACTTTTGCTTTTGCTTTGTTTTTTTTCAATGCAATGCTAAGGAAAATGGGGGAAAAATAAGCTTTATTTTCAATAAGCTTTATGCCTAAGATGAAGAGCATCCCCTATGGAATGCCAAAATTTGGCATTTTAGGTAAGAAAACCAATACACAAATCCAATGCTATACTTATTGTAGAAAATCAAGCTAGACGTTAGGAATTTTGTTATATCTTGGAAATTAGGAGTATTCACAGCTGTTGTAATCCTAGTTTAAATTTCTTGAGATAGGATTTGTTAGTTCCTGATTTTGTGGGTTATAGTTAATCCTTCTTATGTATATATATATCCGTCAGTCAATGAATAAAATTTAGAGGATTACTTCCTAAATTTCTACATGGTATCATAGCAACTCTGAGCCCTAACTCTATCACCGTTCATCTTCTTGTCACTAAGCAGTTCTCCGCTTGTTGACCATCTCCGGCGATCGTCCCCTCAATTTTTCTTAATCCTAAATGGTGGAATCTGAACAAACCTCCAGAACTAGTGGTACCTCATCCACCCCTCTTCCATCCTTGAATAATCTAGTCCCATCCGAAGGCAGCCTTATCCCTGTGACCAATCATAAACTCACTGGTCATAACTACCTTCAATGGTCTCAGTCCGTCATGATGTTTATTTGTGGCCGAGGCTGTGATGACTACCTTACTGGAGCCACTGCACAGCCAAAACCAGATGATCCCCAATTCAGAGTGTGGAGAGCCGAGAACAACCTAGTGATGTCGTGGCTGATCAACTCCATGACCACAGAAATTGGCGAGAATTTCCTCCTTTATTCCACTGCAAAGGAAATCTGGGATGCAGCCCGTGACACTTTCTCCAGCAGTGAAAACACTGCTGAACTCTTCCATATCGAGAGTATTTTGCACGATCTCAGGCAAGGCGAGTTCTCAGTTGCTGCCTACTTCACAAGACTCACCCATTATTGGCAACAACTGGATCTTTTTGAATCATTTGAGTGGAAGTGCCCTGATGACAGTGCTCGCTTCAGGAAAATCGTGGAAACCAAGCATGTTTTTTAAATTTCTTATGGGCCTCAATAAATCTCTCGATGAAGTTCGTGGCCGGATCTTAGGTACCAAGCCTTTACCAAGTATTCAAGAGGCTTTCTCTGAGGTCCGCAGAGAAGAAAGCCGTAAAAGAGTTATGATGGGGCAACCAGGGGTGCCTGGGAATGTAGAGGGGCTAGCCTTAGTAACCCACAAGGACAGTTCCACAGCCCAAGACTCTTCTGCGCATGATGTACGTGGACCTCCTCAGAATCGCAGTGATAATAGGCCACGCAAAGGAAGACCCTGGTGCGACCACTGTCGCAAACCAGGCCATGTTAAGGAAACATGTTGGAAGCTGCACAGAAAACCTGCAGATTGGAAGCCCAGCCACACATGTGGTGATCATGAGAGTCGTGGGAATGTCGCCTCTACTGAAGAAACCAAAAGCCCAAGTCAAGCCCCATTCACCAAGAATCAACTCGAGATGCTGCAACACTTGATTAGTCAGGCTCATCAATCCACCAACTCTTCAGTGATTGGCACAGGGGGAGTAGCTCAGCGAGGTAATGACACTCTGGCTTTTCATGCCGCAAAGTCACCCTCAACCTATTAGATTGTAGATTCTAGCGCATCTAATCACATGACAGGTGATAGGTCCCTGTTATCCTCCTACTGTCCATGTCCGAGTGCTCTCACTGTTCGTATAGCAGACGGCTCATGCTCTACAGTTGCTGGAACTGGCACTGTCCAGCTTTCTCAAACTCTTACCCTCCATTTAGTTCTTTTTGTGCCTAATCTTGATTGCAATTTACTATCTATTAGCAGACTCAATAAAGATCTGAACTGTGAGACTAAGTTTTTTGCTAAATCTTGTGTACTTCAGGACTTGGATTCGGGGAAGACGATTGGCAATGCTGAGCTTTGTGCAGGCCTATACCTTCTCAAATTTGACAATCCTCCAACATGCCCGAGATGTAATGCACTTAGTGCCAGTCCACAGAGTCAGTCCGATAGCAGTCATGAGTCAATGAGTCATTCTAATAAAGATAGTGTTATTATGATGTGGCACTATCGCTTAGGTCATCTAAATTTTATGTATCTTGAACGTCTTTTTCCATCATTATTCATTAATAAAACTTCTAAATTTTTTCACTGTGATGTCTGCCAATTATCCAAACATACTCGAAGTACATATTCTCTGTGACCATAAAAACCTTCTCATCCATTTTCCCTCATTCATGGTGATATCTGGGGGCCTTCAAAAATTCAAAACATTACAGGGGCTCGATGGTTCTTATTGTTGGTTGATGATCATACATAGCTAAGCTGGGTATTTCTCATGAAAGATAAATATGAAACTAGCCAAATCTTCCAAAATTTTCATACTATGATCCAAAATCAATTCCATGCTAATATTCAGGTCCTCAAAACTGACAATGCACGAGATTTCTTTAACACTGTTCTTGACCCTTACTTGCAGTCTCATGGAATTGTCCATCAAAGTTCCTGCGTCGACACACCTCAACAAAATGGAGTGGCCGAGCGTAAGAATCGCCACTTACTTGAGGGTGCTCGTTCCTTGTTGTTCACTTCCAACGTTCCCAAAAGATTCTGGGGCGAAGCTGTTCTCACCGCAACTTATCTCATTAATAGAATGCCTTCCCGAATCTTAAACTACAAAACACCAAGCCAAACTCTCCTTGACACCTATCCTCATTCTCATCTCATTTCTCAAATCCCACTTAAGATTTTTGGTTGCACAGTGTTTGTTCACATCCACTCACAACATCGAGGAAAGCTTGATGCTAGAGCTACAAAGTGTATCTTTTTGGGCTACTCACCCAACAAGAAAGGATACAAATGCTACTACCCCAACACCAAAAAAATTTTCCACTCCATGGAGTGACTTTCTTCGAAGACAAACCTTTCTACCCCAATTCTACAATTCAGGGGGAGAGCAACGTGCAAGAATCACAGAAATGGATCTCTATTATTGATACAATCTCCGAACCAACCAATGCCACCACTGATACTCTCACCATTCTACCAGTCCCTACCAATCCACCAGACCCGTCCTCAGCCGAGACACCTCCAACTCCTCCCACATTGGCAAAGCCTCTACCAACCGAGACTCAACCTGTAAATCCAGAGTCAAACCTATTGAGTCCTACTCATCTCCCAAGTCACACTATAGTAAATAAAGAGAGCAGTGTCTACTCAAGAAGAAGGCGTCGTCAAGGAGAGCCTGTACAAACTCAGCAGAACCAGGATCCGGCTCCAATTGCCCTTGAAAAACCGCAAGGTAAATAAAAACTTACCCCTGTTCCTTTGGCTGAGAAATTTATAGATCATAGCTCGGATCTACATAGGCCGATTGTTGAAAGAAAAGGGGTCCGCTCATGCACACAACATCCTCTTCACAACTACATGACATATTCAAACCTGTCCCCTGGTTATAGGGCATTTGTGTCATCTTTGGATCAAGTTCAGATTCCCAATTCCGTTCATGAAGCCTTACGAGTGCCTGAATGGAAAGCAACAACCTTGGAAGAGATCCGAGCACTTGAGAAAAATGGAACCTGGATCCTCACCATTCTTCCACCAGGAAAACGCACTGTAGGGTGCAAATGGCTCCTCGGTAAAGCACAAGGCAGATGGTAGTGTGGAACGATTCAAGGCCCGTTTGGTGGCCAAGGGTTTTACACAGTCTTATGGAATCGATTACCAGGAGACATTTGCACCGGTTGCTAAGCTAAACACTATCCGGGTTCTCTTGTCTATTGCAGTGAACCGAGATTGGCCATTATTTCAACTCGATGTGAAGAACGCATTTCTGAATGGAGATCTTGTAGAAGAAGTATACATGGATATACCTCCGGGATTTGAGAACTCCACAAAGAACAAAGTCTGCAAACTCCAGAAGTCACTGTATGGCCTCAAACAATCACCCCGAGCCTGGTTTGACAGATTTACAAGGGTTCTAAGACTAGATGGATACTCTTAATGCCAAGCGGATCACACATTATTTGTGAAACACTCAACTGATGGAAGACTCATAGTGCTCATTGTATACGTCGATGACATAGTGCTCACAGGAAACGATGAAGAAGAAATGAATCACCTCAAACTCTTGCTCTCCAAAGAGTTCGAAATTAAGGATCTCGGACACCTAAGGTTTTTTCTCGGGATGGAAGTGGCTAGGTCAAGCAAAGGAATATCAGTCTCACAACGAAAGTATGTTCTAGACCTTCTAAGGGAAACTGGCATGATCGGGTGTAAATCAGCTGAAACACCTATGGATCTGAATACCAAGTTAGGAGCTCAAGCAGATGGAGTAGCAGTCGACAAAGGAAGATACCCGCGATTGGTGGGAAAACTAATCTACCTAGCTCATACTCGTCCTGACATAAGTTTTGCAGTCAGCGAAGTCAGTCAGTTTTTGAATAATCCCTCTGAGGTGCATATGGAGGCTGTGTACAGGATACTGAGATATCTCAAGAATGATCCTGGGAAGGGATTAATGTTCAGATTGACTTCCACTAGGACTCTTGAAGTCTACACAGATGCAGACTGGGCCGGATCCCCTATAGATCGAAGATCAACCTCAAGCTACTGTTCATATGTGTGGGGAAATCTGGTAACATGGCGTAGCAAGAAGCATGCAGTAGTTGCACGCAGCAGCGCCGAAGCTGAGTTTCGAGCCTTAGCTCATGGAATCTGTGAAGGCATTTGGCTAAAGCGACTACTGGAAGAACTTAGAGTAAGGATAGATGGACCTACAGAAATGTTGTGTGACAATCAATCAGCTATAGCCATCGCAAAGAATCCGGTACACTATGACAGAACAAAACATGTTGAGATAGACAGGCATTTCATCAGCGAGAAGATTGAAAGCAGAGTGATCTCTTTAAGACATGTTCCTTCACAGCACCAGGCAGCTGACATTTTGACTAAAACTCTTCATCGTCCTAACTTTCATGAGTTGAGTTCTAAGCTAGGCATGTCAAGTATATACCGTCCAACTTGAGGGGGAGTGTAGAAAATCAAGCTAGACGTTAGGAATTTTGTTATATCCAGGAAATTAGGAGTATTCACAACTGTTGTAATCCTAGTTTAAATTTCCTGAGATAGGATCTGTTAGTTCCGATTTTGTGGGTTATAGTTAATCCTTCTTATGTGTATATATATATATATATATCCGTTAGTCAATGAATAAAATTCAGAGGATTACTTCCTAAATTTCTACACTTATGTCAAATTTGACATATATATACTTGCTGCCAAATTTAGCACCAAATATAGCATATCTCAAATTTTGGCATTGGGTTGCTTATCGGTTTATGTATTAACCGATTATCATTTTCAAATAATTTATGAATTAAAAATTACCTTTTATAAGTTCTAAAGATTATTTATGACTAAAAATAGATATGGCATTTAAAACAACATTATGCATTGTCATTTTACACTTTTGTGCCAAATATGGCATTGATAGGAGATACTCTAAGGCCCCGTTCATTTCGCTGATTCGAGTTTTTCTACAGTAAAAGGCTTTCAGAAACAATCACATCTAACTTTTTTGCTACAGTAAAAAGCTCTCACATAAAGTCACATCTCAACTTGAATTAAAAACTCGAATTAGTGAACTAAACAGGCCCTAAAATCAGGTTGATTCAAGTCTAGATTTTGAAATAAAAATTTCTGCTACCAAAAACTTAGCAACGGGTCTCCTTTCAAGTACACACATGAGATATCACATATCTAGCTATCGAAGTATAATGTTAGCTATTGAAGTATAATGTATAGATACAATTATTTAACGTATTATTTCTCAACACACTGGGCTGATTATAGATTATATAGCATCTAGTTAATGCAGTTATTTATTCGCATTTGACTTGTGTATCTAATAAAATTGCTACCACATATCCTATATTCGTTTAAAAAGAAGAGAGATTGAAAGCAAATCACCTACATTAGGCTGAGGGAAGAAATTTGTCCTTGACACCTTAAGTTTGATTTCCGAATCTGTTATGGGAATTCACAACATAAACCTAAAGTCAATAAAACAATATAAAATGTGTTGGAAATTCTATTGGAAGAGAGGAGTGAATCATCCAGCGCCAATCTTGAAAACTTATTTCTGTTATCTTGTATCTCCTTCAACTAATATTAGTAGCCATTATGGGATCTTAAGATAAGCACACATGGCATAACAATTTCTGAGATAGTCAACACAATTTTTCGCTTGTTATACAAAAGTAGTTAAAAGTATCTTCATTTTCTGATCAATGTAACATTATGAGAAGTTATAAGTTTGAATACAACCGCAAGAGAGAAACAAAGGAACTAAAGAGATACCTGAATAGAAATTGACAAAGATATTGATCGGTCGGTATTCAGGTGTCCACAAAGATGATTCCACCAAGCGCGAAGCTGTCTCCTCCTGGAAATATTTTAAGCATATAACAAAAGTAAAGGATACAAATCCACTAGCCAACTAATTTCTCATCTAGTTTCTCCTTATGACCTTATTGTGACATAGGGCTTGATTTCAAGTGCCAACCAACAAATGAGTTGGTTTCTAATTACAGACTTGCTTAGGGATCTTTTCAAGTCTTGGGTACTTTTTTCTCCAAGACCTCTTCAGGTTGACAAGCGGATTTGTGTTTGGGATACAAATGGGTTTTCTTGAAATTCCTTATTTCAATCTTTGATCAAAATTCCGGATGTTCCTTTCTTTCAACCTTTCAAGTTTATACAGAAATCTTGTGCTCCTACTAAACTTAGTCTTTGCCTGGTTATTTTGTCAAAAATATTGAACATCTGAGACTTAGTGTAGAGAAAACACACTCAATCAGTATTGTCTGGTGTGTTATGTGTAAGGCTGATGCAAAAACTGTGAACCATTTATTTATGCACTCCGAAGTGGCTTGGAGACTATGGGGGAATGTGTTGGAGGCAGCTGATCTTAAATGGTCCTTCCCAGATCAAAGTAATTCGATTTTGGTGGAGGATAAGTGCCTTTTGAAGATTTGTTTGAGAAGGCAAAATTTTTAACCTCTTTGTGGGCTTCGACAGACTCCTCTTTCAAACACTTTCCTATGTCCTTAATAATACTAAGTTGGGAAGAAAATCTAGTTTAAGTAATTATGTAATCGTTATGGTTGTTAAGTGTAGTTTTTGGAGTTTACTGTTTTTACTGTTCTGGCCTTCTGCTTTTTCTTTCTTTTGTTTGTATTTTCTTTCTCTTTCTAATGGATTTCTCATCCATCTTATAAATGGATTTCTCATCCATCTTATAACTTCATTTGTATTGTTTTTGATCCAATGAAGTTTTTGTTTCTCATAAAAAATAAAATTTAACTAACTTGCTTAGGAAAAAAAGTTACACAGAATATGATCTTAACATGAGAAAAAGATGAGACTTCAACAGGAAACTAAACTTAAGCAACCGATACCATTTATAGTTAATCCTATTGAAGGCGAAAGAGGAATTCTATTGATTGAATAAAAACACTACATGTTAGGGTATATTTATCCCTGTACACAAAATCAAAAATTAAAAATAAAATATTCTAGAATCTTCCTAGTCAAACCCCTACAAATCAGGCATTCCTATATCAATAAGGAAACTACCCAAAATCTCTCATAATCTACAATTGTACAAGTGTACACGTTTTTCCTTAAATTCAAAATAAGCAAATATTCCAACGCTCCCACTCAAGCTGGGGTGTAGATGTTCTCCATTCCCAGCTTGCTCACAATTTTCTGAAACACTGGATTAGCCAATCCCTTAGTAAGGATATCAACCAACTGTCCATCAGAAGATACGTAAAGAGTACAAATCAAGCCACTTTCAAGTTTCTCCTTTATGAAATGCCTATCAACCTCCACGTGTTTCGTTCAATCATGTTGCACTGGATTATGTGCAATGTTGATAGCAGATTTATTGTCACAATAAAGTTTCATAGGCGTTTCCCATTTGATTCTCAAGTCTTCCAAGATTATCTTGAACCATAGCAATTCACAGATGCCTCGTGCCATCGATCAAAACTCTGCCTCTACACTGGATCTAGCCATAACTGGTTGCTTCTTACTCCTCCAAGTCACTAAGTTCCCGCCAAAGAAGGTGCAATATCCAGAGGTCGATCTCCTGTCAGTGACTTAGCCAGCATAATCTGCATCGGTATAAGCTTCTAATGTCAAACTATTCCCTTTTTTAAAGAGAATTCCCTTTCCTGGAGTAGCCTTCAAGTATTGCAATATTCGATACACTACTTGGAGGTGCACTTCCTTCAGATTGTGCATAAACTGACTCACCACACTTACGGCATATGCTGTCTGGTTGTGTGTGTGAAAGATAGATTAATCTTCCAACTAGTCTTTGAAACATGCCTCTGTCCAAAGATTTTGAGTTTGAAGCTTCTCCTAATTTGTGGTTAGGCTCTATGGGAGTGTCTGATGGTCTACAACCAAGTCTGCATGTTTCCTTTATCAAGTCTAGAATGTATTTTTGCTGTGAAATGAGGATCCCTTCGTTGGACCGTGCCACCTCTATTCCCAAAAAGTACTTCAATTTTCCGAGGTCTTTTATCTCGAATTCCTTGGCTAAGCACCTACGAAGAGCTTCCTTTTCTTCATGATCATTCCTAGTTACTATTATGTCATCCACATAAATTAGCAACACTATAACTCCCCCTGAAGTCGAATGTTTGATAAATAATGTATGATCCCCTTGACTCTGCTGATACTTCATCTTCAACATCACCTTTGCAAATCTCCCAAACCAAGCTCTAGGTGATTGTTTGAGTCCATACAACGCTTTGCTCCGTTTGCATACTTTGTTTGTCCCAACATTCACTCCAAATCCTGGTGGAATTTCCATGTAGATCTCCTCGTCAAGGTCACCATGCAAGAAAGCATTTTTCACATCGTACTGTTGCAAACTCCAGTCTAAATTAGCCGCTATTGACAGTAATAATCTCACTGTATTCATTTTCGCCACCGGTGCAAAAGTCTCTTGATAATCCACCCCATAAGTTTGGGTGTATCCTTTAGCTACTAACCTTGCCTTATATCTCTCAAGGGATCCATCCGCTTTATATTTTACTGAGAAAACCCATTTGCAACCCACTGGTTTCTTTCCACGTTGTAATTCCAACAATTCCCATGTTCTGTTTTTTCCCAGAGCTTCCATCTCCACTCTCATGGCTTGCTTCCACTCATCATTGCTAAGTGCCTCAGATATAGTTTGGGGTATGGCTATGGTGTTTAGATGTGTGAGAAAGTTATAGTGTGTGGGCGACAATTTTTCAAAGGATACAAAGTGGGATAATGGGTGTTGTGTGCATTGTCTAACTCCTTTCCTTACAGTTATTGGTAGCTCAAGATCATGAATTGTGGGTGAAGCACCAATAGAGGAAGAATTTACCTCATTACCAAGTGTGGCGTTGGACTCTCGGACTTGCACAGGATGGACTATGGGAGCTTGCCACCTTGAGTATACTTGCAGCGGTTTTGTGCTTATTGGATTCACTGTCAGAGACGGAACTTCAAGATTGTTTTGGACGGGGTTATCTGGCTCGGAATTAAAGGCATATGGCTCAGAAATAGGCTCAATGGTGGGTTCCACAGAAGACTCAGATTGTATAGTAGACTTAGGAGGACTGACCGGTTGTTCACGCAAGAACAAATCCTTATCTTCCATAGATGTTATTTCCCCCTGAAGATAAGGACGAGAGAAATAGCTTTCTTGTTCAACAAATGTGACATCGGCAGAGACATAGGTTTTTTGAGTCATAGGATGTACCCCTTTTTGGTGGATGAATAACCTATGAAGACACACTTAACTGCCCTAGGATCCAGTTTACCCCAACTATGAGCATGTACATGGACAAATGAAACACATCCAAAGACCTTAGGAACCAGTTTAGTTGACGTGTTGAAATCTGGGTAGAGCTTGGAAAAAAACTTCCATTGGACTTTTGAAGTCAAGAACTCAGGATGGAATGTGATTTATCAAGTGAGCCGTGGTGAGCACGGCTTCCCCCCAAAAGGTTTTTGGAACATTTCTTTGAAATAGAAGGGCACGGGTTGTTGCCAAAAGGTGGCCATTTTTCCTTTCGGCGATCCCATTTTGTTTGGGTGTGTCAGTACATGAGGACTCATGAATGATTCCCTCCTTTTGAAAGTAAGGAGAGAGTGTTTGATTAAAATAGTCCCTGGCATTATCTATTCGTATTCTTTTGATACTCGTGCCAAATTGATTTTTCACCATATTATGGAAAATAGGAAAAACTGTGCTCACATCAGATTTTTGCTCAAGTAGAAAACGCCATGTCACCCGACTACAATCATCAATAAAAGAGAAACCACCGAGCTCCTAAAATGTTAGGAACTCGGGATGGACCCCAAATATCACTATGGATTAAATAAAAGGGAAATGAAGTTCTTTTATTGCTTAAAGGAAAGGAGACACGTCAATGTTTAGCAAACTCACACACATCACAGTGGAAATCTTTTACATTGACACCCCTAAACAAAGATGGAAACATAACGCTAAGAACAGTAAGAGACGGATGACCAAGTCGAAGGTTGTAAAGCCAAATTTGGTCTTTATTGTGAGAGGACTGATTTGACATAAATGATAGAGGTTGTGGAATCCCTTTGTCACCTGGCAACTCAAGGTGGAAAAGTCCATGCCTTTCCTTAGCAAGTTTAATCATCCTCCTCATACCCTGGTCCAAAAATATACACGAATCAGAGGAAAATAAGATCCTGCAATTTAATTCCTTTGTGAGTTGGTGAATAGACAATAGATTGGTGTAGAGCTTTGGGACATGTAGGACATTTCTCAAAGTTAATGATGGGCTTAGTTTGATATCTCCTTTGCCGGCCACAGTGGCCATGGATCCATCATCAATCGTCATTTTCCTACTACTGGGACATGGGCTATGTGAGGAATTTGTGTGCTTGGTGTGTCATATGGTCGGTCGCTCCCGAGTGAACGACCCAAAAGCTGGAAAGGTTACAATCTGAGACACTTAGAGCATGTGAGAGGAGAAGTTTACCTGAGTGTGCCAAGGAACAGATACTTGGAGCTTTTTCAAGTGAATCGAGAAGTGATCCAACCTTCCAATGCCACTAGAACTTGATCCATCATTGGCTGCATTCTCATTAGATTGAGAAATATGTGCTTGCCCTCGCTGCTGCCCGTTTCTTGATCCTCTATTCCAGTTTGAACTGTGGGATTTTCCATGTAATTTCCAGCAGTTTTCTTTGGTGTGTTGGGGTTTTTTGCAATATGTGCACCATAGATTGTCCTTGTTTGCAAGCATGGAATCAATTCTACTGGTTTCAAAATTTGCAGTGCTTGCAACCGAAGTCTTCTCTCCATTGTTCTTCGATTTATCCTCCATTATACGACTTGTTAATAAAGCCGAT